TTTTTTTATCTGAATTTATTATCTTGAACATCTCATAATTCTCATTGTAATAATCATTAGAATCTTGCTCTGGTTTGTCATCATCAGCATCACTATTGGCATTAAAATTATCTGAAGTTTTTGACTCAGTTAGGTCTTCTTTAATACAAAATTGTTTAGTTAAATATACTTCAAAACTATTGAGATAAATTGAAACAAATTTATTTGGTGTATAGTAGTCACCCAAACCCAAAAGATATGCTGCTATTTGAGGTCCCATTAGTTCTGCTCTCTCTGCAATTTTATTAAGACATAAGGTAACAAGTCATTGTGATCTTTCTACAAATTTTTCTGATATTTCATTCACAAGAAATTTGTTTAGTATCATCACACATATTAAAAATGAGCTGTTAATACTTGAATCAGATTTTGTAATATAGTCCGTAATGTAGTGAATATATGCTAAAGCCAATTTGGTGTTGCAATGAATCTGATGTTATTGTTTTCTCAACAGCTAGAAGTTATATATGGATTATGATTATTAATATAAGCATTAAGGTGTTGAAGAGCTATAATTTCAAATTCAGGATAGATTTTTTCAGGTGTTTCAACTAATTCTCATAGAAAATCAAAATAATAGTTAGATATTCTGCTACGATTATATTTTTTACATGACTAAGTACATCTGTGAAACAGTATACGCTTAGCGATTGCAAGAATATCAAGTCAAAATTTTTCTTCAAAATCAGGTAATTGTGGGTTCAGAATAGGTAAAAATGATGGATGCATTCTCCTTTCTAAATTATTTTTGGGGTCATATATTCTATCTATAACACTTCATCAATCAAATATTGTCCATCAGAAAAAAAGATAGCTAATATCTTCTTTAACAATTTCATTCATATAATTTATTAACTGTTTTCTAAAATCTTTATTATCTTTTAAACATTCCTGAAGCTTAACCAGAGCAAGATTCTAATGATTATTACAATGAGAATTATGAGATGTTCAAGATAATAAATTCAGATAAAAAAATGACTGCAATAAATTTATGAATTGACTATATATTTCGTGGTAAACAACTAAAAAATATGTGTCTTTATGATTATGCTGTGACTATACATAAAATAAAAATTAATAAAATAGAATTAGATAAATTAGCTAGACAAAAAAACTGAGAAGGGCGAGCAACAAGAGTTGACTGATTTTACTTTTTGGATGGAGATGAAGAATGTAATAAAACACATAATTATAGAATTAAACACCCATAGCATTCAACACATATACAAGCTCACTAGACCAATGGAAATGAAAGTGTGCCAATATTATGTGAAAAGGTATTCTACATAAGGATGATCTTAAAAATACTGAACGCTATAGACTTTGTATATTAATGCTTTTTAAACTGTGGACCTCTTCAAGTGATCTAATAGGAGTGTGTAATTCATGGCATAAAGCATGCGATACTTTTTTGCAAGGTCCAAATCTATCAATACGATTATGATCAATTATAAATAATATTGAACTTTTATATAGATGTAAGGAGGAGATGATTTTAGATAAACAATTACATTAGATGGCTAATAAAAACCCAGAAATGTTAAAACTTCGACAATAGTCATAAAGATTTAAGCATTAAAGATGAATCATTATTCGATCCATATACAATAATACGCACTGGATTCCGAAATTTGATGAAGCAATGTTACATTTATATCTTAAAAGCAAATTTAAAATAAGAAATGAAACATTACAAAATAATATTGGTGTATATAACATAGGTAATATGAAAGATCAATTTAGACCTGCTTGTGAAAATGACAATAGTTTGATTCAAAAATAGCAAGAAATTATAGTATCATGAAAAAAAATTAAACAAGTAAATGAAAATCTTGATGACGACCATACGCAAAAGTTTATATGCACTTCTGAACAATTAAATTATACATTATTCCGATCAAGAAAAATAATAAATGAAACTAATTTATTAAAAAAATTTCGAATGATTTAATGATGAACAAAAAAAGTTTTTTTGCTTGTGTGTAATCACCGACAATACAATTATCCAGATAATTTTGATAAACCTTCGCAACTGTTAATTCATCTGGGAGGTGCTGGAGGTACAGGAAAAACTAAAGTTATTAAAGCAATTTGTAAGTATTTTGAACAAGTCTGTCAAAAAGAAACACTTGCTGTTTGCGCATCAACTGGGTTTGCTACATCGAGTATTGGTGGTTATACTCTCCATTTAATGTGTGGTTTTAAATTTGGTGATAATGATTTTATATATCAATCTACTAAAAAGAAATCTACGAAATTGCTTCAGGACCAGTGGGCAAAAATAGAGTACTTAATTTTGGATGAAGTTTCTATGATAGGTCAGAAACTTCTAATGCAATTTTATACCCATGTTAAAGAAGCAAAACCCGACTAGAATGATACTTTGCTATTTGCAGGTTTAAATATAATTTTCTCTGAGGACTTTATGCAACTCCCACCAGTACTTGATTTACCATTATATGGTCCTGTTAAAATTGAAAATATGATAATTTCAAGGACAACAAAATCAATACAAAAACAGATTATGAAATCTATTAATACTCAGACAGTAATAAATATCAGCGGCAGAGAATTATGGTTATCAGTAAAGTATGCTATTATCCTGAGAAAGCAGATGCGACAAGTAAATGATATGGTATATGTTTCGATATTAAATAACTTGCAACATGGTCAACTGACAACAGCTCAACGTAAAATTCTTTATAATCGCATAATAACAAAATATGATATGAGTTCACCTGCGTAGGAGACTGCTGTATTTTTAGTCTAGAGAAATGATCTACAAATTCAGATAAACTTAGAAGCCACCATAAAACATGCCAAACGTTATAATCAACCGACCTATTATATATGTGCTAAAGACACCTATAAAAATAAGCCTCTTTATAATAGTATAAGACAAAAATTTCTAAGTGTAGCGGATACAAGATCGAATACACTATGTGGAATATTGCTATTATCAATTGGTATGAAGCTAGCTTTGACGGTTAATATTGGTATATGTGATGGTATGGCTATTAGTGCTCAAGGTATTCTTCGTGAAATTGTATATAATGACACAGCTGTAATCACTGAAAGTATGAATATTAATAGAGAAAAAAGTATTGTTATTGGTGAACCACCGAAATATATTGTAATTGAACTTCTAAATCATACACCCGGTACATATGACAATCTTCCATCAAATCATGTTCCAATATATTCTATCAAACAAAAATGCAAATATGTGCATAAAATAAAAGATGGCTCAAGTATAACAAGAGAATTTCAAAGAACTCAACTACCTGTAACCCCTGCTTTCGCATTTACAGAATTTAAATGTCAGGGTGCAATATTAGAAAAGACAATTGTTGATCTAAATGATGGTAATATAAAATCAAGTGTATATGTTATGCTATCACGCGTGCAGAAATTGCAAGAAATTATGATACTTCGACCTTTTAACCAATCGAAACTTGATACGACTATCGAACCTGATCTTAAGGAAGAACTTGAACGCATTGAAGAATGTTTTGTGAGAACTAAACAATTAGATGAATGGCCATAATATAACATGACATAGTTAAAAAAGCAAATATAACATTTATTTATTCCTGATTAACTCTTTTAAGCTGCTTCTCTTTTAAAAATTTTTACTGATATAATTACCTCGATTCAACTACATTACAGCATCACTACTTTGATATAATGTACTATTATTATACCGATTCTTCTTTAGCACATTTCTTTGTAATCATTACACAAATTACACGCACCACAATAAACCTCTTTATATACAAACAATTAAAATATTAATTAAAAATATTATGAAAATAAACAGTTTCCCTGCAATTAACATTTGAAATAAATATAAATATAAACTCTTTTCTTAAATAAATAACGCCAACTTAAAAAAAGTTCATTTTTTATTGTTATTGCTATTCACTATCTGACACAAATTAAATATTCTTATAAAATTAATATAAATATGTATAACATATACTCATTACAAATGATAAAGCAATTTAAAGTACTGTATTACCAATTAAATAAACAAAAAAAATAATTTATTTACAATCGATAAAATATAAGAAATGAATACAGCATATATAGGACACAATAAACAAAATATTATAGCAAATATACTTGCTTACAAAAGCGTATTTAAAATAAAATCGAAATAAAAAAAATCACTGTAACAAATAAACACTGATTATTAAAAACATAACCACAATCACAATACTATGCCTTCTCATTACTATTATCAGTCCTGGACAACTCAGATCGTTTCCTAGTATTATGAATTACAGGCTGAATCAACTTTTTCTTGCCATTATCTGATCTTTCATAACTACACTCTAAACTTTTGCTATCATAGACAGTACCTTCCTTGAATTTATCACTCTCACTCGTACTTTCTTTATTACGATTATTCATACCTTCATCATCATACTCAGTATAATCATCTTTTTTATTATCTAATCTTGTGCGTTTATTTATATGAGAATCCTCAGAAATTAAATCAGTTACGAACTCACTCTTTCTTTACCTAGATCCAAACTTTTTATCTCAACTGCTTTCGATGAATCTTCACTAATACTCTGATGTGCATTTAAAAGTCTTGAACAAACTGATCTAAATAATGCTGGAGTACTCTCAGAAAAAGATGATTTTTTCTTTATTGTGGAACCAGTATCGACGTAAGAAATATCAACAGTATACACATATAAACCCTTTTCAATAATCTCCATTTGCCCTACAACAAATAGCACCGATTCATTCAATCGAGTAGAATTCATTAAATGTTTGAATCGACTATTATTACATGGAAAAACAACTTTAATCGTAAAACTATAAATTTGCCCAGCATAATCATTTACTAAAACATTAATTATCGCATTTTCACGATCAATCTCCTTTGGTACATCTTGAGCAACACCGACAAATGAAACTTTTAATGGGCACCTATTTGAACCAAGTTCTCTTTTAATCAAGAGGTGAGTCGAAGATGCGACAGTCAACTAAATTAAAAAAAATTTAATAAATGTTCAATGTTTATAACACATACGACTAAATATACAAACTTTTAATCTTAAATTTCCATTATAATGTCCAAGCACAACTTTTCCACCAACACAATAATACTCGTTTGTTTCAAAAATAGAATGTGTATTGGGATCTCTCTCCTCATCATTTATTGGAATAAATAGAGTCATATCTAACTCACAATCCTCGCTCTCAATAGGATAAACACCAACCGCTCGTATAGCAACCAATTTTGAATCCTCATTGCAAGTTTGACGAACCTGATTTACTTTCACAATTGTATCAGCGTAACAAGGCATTAGAACAACTGAATAACAAAGATACCTTAATTTTATGTATAAAAAAATAACCACCTATATATATTTAAATAAACCAACAATAAATTACATCATATAAACCTCACATACGAAACTAAATAAATCAAATGATGTCGGAATGAAATCAAAACCCAAGCACTATTAGCATAAATTAAAATTTGTCAAATATTCATGAAAAACATCCATATACGATTACATTCTTATAAAAATGACACCAAAAAAATCTAAATTTAGCTACCTTACCAACACCCTACAACAAAATTCACACGAATGTAAATATCATTAAAAACTATTTCTAAATAAAACATCAGTAAAAAGTTTTTAAAATTCATATACACATATTCAATAAATATAATCGAAATAGACAAATACAAAACGAAAATATACTCACGTATATATATGCGATACTCACGAATTCAATTAAAAAAAAGGCAAAGATCTTCACTTATTCACACGTTTATAATACAGTAATAATACATAATACTACAGCAAAAAACCAACATAAATGAGTTGTCTAAAAAAAAAACACAATTACAAATTATATAGTTAAAATTAAAAAAAAAAAAAAAACACAAAATCATATACATATGTTATACATAATTATAATAAAAAAATACAATAACATTAAATATACACAATTAATTAAACGTAAAATCTTTAGATACAACAAACTAAACTAATTATAGTAAATTATATCAAAATTATATAAATCATAAATACTTAAACTTTTTCATAAAAAAATTATAAAAAAAACCAACAAAAAAACAACTAACCGATCAAAATAATAATTAAGCTAAATAGTAACAAAATAAAAAATATCATTAATAAATATACAGTCAAACCTCCATAAATACACGTTGTCAAAACCAGTTCTAGAGAGTACATTTAAGGAAGATTACACTTAGAAAACACAAATAAAATCATTATGTAATTATTATCAAATGATAAGCAGGACTTAATAGAATGAAAACAATAAATTTCGTTGACTACTAATCACGTAAATACATTTATGGGAAAAACTTTTATAAATAGACCAAACAATTAATTGTAAAGCTAGCATACTATCATGCATATAGAGAGATGCCGCATTTAAAGAGGTTACATCTAAAGGGCTCTGACTGTACAACAAAAACTAACTATAATTACATACTTACCCTCACCAGTAAATATAAACTCAAAAAATAAACTATCACACGTGATCGAACTGGTCCTGTGCGACATCGCATGTCGCGCAGCTATCATAATTTGTGCTAATTTGGTTTATGAATGCAGATTTGTTTATGAACCCAATTACAGCTGAAGCTTGCTATAACTAACTTCTTTACAACGAATCCTGAATATAATGAACGTGGAATTAAATTTATATTGGTTGAATTCGGAAAGTATAGATTTTATGTATCAATAATTCGATATCATTTGTGAATATAATTCAAGTTTTACAATTCATTTTAAATCTGCGATTATTATTAGTAATTAAGTTTATCTTAGAATATGTTAAACTGTTTATTTTGGACTAATAGAAGCGGTTTTGTCTTTTAAATAACAATAAGAAAGCTTACCCTTTACCATATCAATGTGAAATTACGTGCTGGGGCGTTATTTTGAAGCGCACAATTTCCAGAGAGCTAATAATTGTCGCGGATGATCATGAAATCGGATGATGGTGAAATTTAGGGGTCTCGATTTGAAAATATAAGCCCTACCAAAATCTACCTATGCACTTTTACTAATAACTCTAACCATAAATCCTAGCTTAACTATAAAAAAAACGGCACCAAAAAATTTTAAAAATCGTACATAAAATAGATCCAAATTTCACCATCATCCGATTTCACGATCATCCGTGACGAATACAAATGATAATTCTTAGCTCTTTGTGAATTATGTCTCGAAATAACAGTACGAGTGTTATTTCGTGACAATATTGTGATATCCAAAAAAATAATCATAATAAAGAAAAGGTATTAGTAAAAGCACGAAAATAAAAGTTGGAAAATTTTCGGAAATCGCGGAGAATTGTAACATGTAACTGCGCCCTTGATTCGTGGTAACGCTGGGACTTTTAACTATACACTAATACTAACTCGACTACTCTAACTAAGATCTAATAATGGAAAGACTTGGTCCGAGTAACTAGGGTCAATTAGAGCTCTAGACTACGTCATGAGTTTCTTAATACGAAGTCACGAATTCTGGTCACTAATTCCTATCGTTAATATTTTATTTATCGGGGGATTAGTGAAACCAAATATTTTACAATGTGGGACTCCAACTCTAACTCTCACTGAGTTTATTCAAGATACATTTCGAACTCTTATACACATTTTTGTTACTATCAAATTCTTTCTAACATTTCTGCTCTATCTAGTATATAGTATCGACATGCACTATCTACTCGATATACTAGATCTACCGGTCTAGGGATGGACTCGGTCGGTTATCGGTCGGTTATTACCGGCTAGCCGATCATAGCCGGCTAGCCGCGGCTATAATCGATCAATTTTTTAATTCCTTCATCAAATATCGATATTTAATCAAGTGACAAACCAATTGTATGTTGGTTTAATAAT